TATCTAGTGGGCCCAACTGTGTAGGAACCTGAAGACGGAGATAGAGTCCCATCTCCGAAACGTCGTTTTACGTTTTATATTTACTAGACGATGGATAATATCCAAGAAAAATTTTATTCAATAAGTAATAATATAAATTATAATATCCTTGAAGGTTATTTCCTGGAACCCTTTCGTCATGAACAAGAAAAGCGTAACAGATACACATTTCTTATCAGTAAGTGTCGTGTCTCCAACATTACGAAGAATACCATTACATTGTATAAATACTTGTCCTTCCTAGGAATCAAACCCTACTTGTCAGGCCCGGACTAAAGAAAATAAAAAGTTACAGAAAGAAATAAATAAATAAAAATCAGTGGTAAAAGAATACGCAAATAGAATAATTGAGGAAGAAAGCTAACGAGCTTTAAATTATACACAATTTTCGCTACGACATTTCTCTTAACCGTAATTCCAAATCTTAAAACTTTGCATACCGTGTAGTGTATTAGAATATAAAATAAGAAAACAAACTATTAACACTATATATTAGCACTAGTGTCTTTTTATAGTGTTAATAGTTTGTTTGTTTGCTTATTTTATATTCGTAATTCCAAAGTTTTATTCTTGGCAAACTGCACTCGAGAACAGACGTGCCTGAAGTCCTGAATAAGTGAGTCTGCGTAAATACATCTGATTAAGCTACATGGTGAAACGAGGGGCGATTATTTCCCGTTAGAAGGAAATGCCCGGGGTAACTTTCCACTGAAGATGGGCAGAGTTTGTAAATTGACAGGCGTCTTCGGCTGAGGACTTCGTGGAAAGCCGTCACGCTGAAGACGACTGTCCTCTGGGAACGTTGCCTCGATCCGCCCTGCTTTAATAATAAGTAACTTTGTAGTTTGTATTTATGGGGTTCGTATTTTTCTGTGTAAACAGCTATTATTTTCACAGCGACACGTATGAAGATGGCTGCCTTATGAGGTGATGTACAGTGTAATCTGATAGATATTGACCAACGTTTTTAGGACGCTCGTCGCCGTGGAAACCTGAAATCTCAGTCGTCACGCTATTTCACAAACTCAACGCGGTGATATGTAAGAATGAAAACAGAGAATATTTTGGAGATGAAATAATACGTGAGACAATATCAAAATGTAACTGAGAAACAGGGTTGAAGACGTGGACTTGTTTAATAGGAAATGGTGTTGGACGGGGAATTTATCGATCCGCTTGAGAGTTTAATCTCGAAATGCTCTTGTTAGCATTTCACGAGTGTCTGTGATCATCAGCAGACGTTTCAGGCGAATCACACATCGTCCCTTAAATTTGGTTACCTGACATCACGAAGCTACATCAAACCTAAACAACAACAATTATCCAGCGAGCTGATAAAAAATAGCAGCTTCCTGCTAGACAGTTCAAATAAGACGAGAAATTGAGTCGCGTTGTTAATTTAATATCCCATATAATAGGACCCATGCTTAATTTTCTTACGACATAGCATGTTCCAGAATTTTATTCAGATCTCATGCATTCAAGAATCTGATACATTGTGACGCAATCAGTCATTGCACACTGCGTTCTTCACCACAAAACGAATTTATTTGGCATTCATGCGAGTACTAATTATATCCTGGGTTAATGCGTTACGTTGCAGACATCACAGTCCTGATTGTCTGGGTACAAATGTTTCCTTCCACGTTCGTCTGGCCTGTCGAGGCGTCCATACATTCGTGACAATACGAAAGCAATTTAAAAAATTCAATTCCATTATAAATGCCTCGAATACCGTGTAGTATACTGGAATATAAATCATGCATACAAACAAAACTGTTTACACTTTGAAGGACAATTAATGTCATGGCTACAAAACTAACGGGATTGTCACAAGGGAAGATGTGATATCATACATCTATGATGAAATCACGCTACAGTTCTATTACATTAATTTTCTACACGCATCTTTAACAATCTTAATGAGCAAAAACAAGGCACTTCGACCTCATGAGCGACATATGGGAAAAGCAAACCATTAAGTAGCCTCACTTGCTATTCAATTCATTTCTGAAACAAAAGGAATACTTGTGGCTAAGACTCTGATATCCCATTTAGCCAACGATTGCCAATTTCGTCGAAGGGTACCGACGAGCGGAGAACAACTGGGTGGCAGTGATACAAGGAGGTTGAATAATTTCAAAGCCTTAGGCAGTGCGTACTTTCATTTATTTTACTAATGACATTTTATAAATCAAGACTTTTTTATTGTATGCATCCCTGTAACTTTCATTCAAAGAATTGTATCGTCCTAATACTTATCGAGATGCTACAAAATATGTATAGGAAAAATTAAGAAACTGGGAACTTGATTTAAAGTGAATCGTAAAGCAAACTTTAGATATGATACGTCAAGTGGCATCAAAATATCGCCCTGAGAATCTAAAATCTCTCAATTTATTAAGTTTTCCCCTTTCCGTTATTTCAACTTCTTTAGGTTTTCAGAGCCCTCTATAAATGAATTAATCTCACTCTAGCCAAAAGATGTTCACGTATTTCGTTTCAAACACTTCATACTTATTCACTGAGTCCGATCAATATGCAACTCAATATATTCCCAGAATCCTGTCATTAGGACCAACAAAGGGAATATTGAATGAAAGAGTAAAATGACACTTTTGCTATTCGGATTTTGTGTTGGCATGGCCGTCGGGAGTGCTGACTACTTAGTCTGTTATGTGGCAGTTCTTTTAAAGAGACAAAGGAGATACGCCTCTATCAAGACGAGCAATCTTTAGCAAAAGATGGAACAAAGGAAAAGGTTGTATAAAAGGGTAAAAAGAAGAGCTGTTCTAGAGAACCTTTTCTTAGTTTATGGTCTACTAGCTGCGTGACTAAACTACAATATCTGGAATTTTGACAGGGTACAAGCGAGTTTTGCAAAAAATTGAACAGTTATGAATTATAGTACGTGAAAATATGAGATGATAGTCCATCAATTTAAGAAAAGTGTTAACAGTTGCCCAGCTGTTTACGTTAAAGATGTTTGTCTTCTAAGTTGTTACGCCGTATAGTCCGGTAAAAGTTTGCCGACATTTCAGAGGTCTTTGGTGACTCCAACACCAGGACGATCGCCCTGATGACCTAACGATGGAGTCAGCAGGGACCTCTGAAACGTCGGTAAACGTCTACCAGACTACAAGAAGCGACACCCCATATTTGTCGCCGTCAGAACTTCCCATCCTGTCTCAGGGAATATTCACAGGACATGGTTTTTATTCAAAGGATCTCGCACAAGCTGGCACGACAGTACGTACTTAGGCTGCGTGGTAACAAGCAGGCTGTAAAACTACAGCGGATAACAATCGGACAAACGGCCCCGAGGTGCACTCGCACTGCGTGCTGTCCTGAGGCGACGCTAATAATGCCTAAGTGCGTTTGCCATGTTCATACATGACAATATCAGGAGACTTCAGGGGATAAACTCAAAATTGGATGTTCAGAAT